TATATGGCACTTCATTGAAAATGGTAGCCAAAAAAAGTGCATGCTGGTGTTGCCCTTTTAACCTTTTAATTGGGGCTTCATATTTCTCCAGTGTGATGCCAGCACACTGTAAGTGAGTAAGTGCTGAAATTTTGTGGCCGCCTTGTGTGTTTTCTTGAAAGCTGATGAAGCTGAAGGCAATTCAGATCAACAAACTAGCAGAGACGGTGTCTCTCTCGGTAATATCTTTTCTGGTATGTCAAACCCAAACTAACTCCTAAAGAACGAGCCTCTCTCCTCCCTAGAGAGGAAAGATTCAAGCAGGGAGTTATGTCCCTATGGATGCTTTCAAATTCCTTGTGGACCTCTGCTATCCCCAGTATGCCCTGCTCTGTGGAGCATATGTTTGATCAACATAAGCCTTGCTTATGCGATTTAAAAGAATTCTGACTGGTGTTTTTTCTCTCTATGGCTTTGGAAGAAAAGTGTCAGTATTCTGGAATGCAACTTCCTGTTGTAGATTGAATATTCATGTTGCCACAAATACTGGTACCAGAAAATGCCAAAATACAGCATTTTTTAAACATAAAACATGACCATTTTCATTCTAAGGCAAGGGGCCATGAGATCAGGTTCCCAGATTGTTATGTCTGAGTATGTTCCAAGCGTACCTGTTATACAGCAATCTCATAGGTAACGTTAAACATTCGTTAGCGTGATGAACAATGAATTTTTATTAAATGGGTACCTGAAGATAGAAATTTGGGTTAGTATAGTACAGGATAGTATCTATATATATATATAAACAATATTTATTTATACTTTTCTTTTTTCTTTATGAGCTGCTGTAAATCACCTTCTGTTTCATTAATGGGGAGGAAGACTTGCGAAGGCTGCTGGGGTATTTTCCTTCCCTTTTATATAACCTGAATTTTATAGGCTTTAATGAAGTTCTGTTCCAGGAAGGTCTTGAACAAGAGTCATGGTGAGTTGTTTAAGGAACTGTGTTAATGTTGAGGCGGGCCTGGAAGGCAAGGACAGGTTGGAGAGGCTTTGTTGAACTGTGTTCTGGTTGAGAGAGAAGGACCTTATACAAGAGTATCTAGAGGTGGTAGCTGCTTCTGTGTCTATTTTGAATGAGTCTGTGGTGCATCAATGACATGATATTCATGGATTGAAGTTGAGGAGTGGCTCTTACATTTCTGTTTAAATAAGTCCAATTCTATAACTAATAACATGAAAGTTTTGGTGCCTCTGTATAGCTGTAGTACAGGGTTGAAGAACTTAGCATTCCCTCTGAAGAAATGGAATTAATCACTCGCTTCAGCACTGTGTTATACTAACTAGCGAGGGAAGGAAGCCAGAAGGCCCTCGTGAGCCAAGCGCTCGCTTTTCAGCCGTGGGTCAAGCGGCGGCTGCCTCCTCCTGTGTGAGGAGCCGCGCGGGCCCAGCCTGCGCCGGTGGCTGACGGGACCAGCCCGGGACCGACCGCGCCACTGTTTGGCCTAGGCCAAATCACTAGTGCTGCTTGAAACCTCATCCCAATATTCCGTGTGTTGTAATGGAAGCTCAGGAAGTGAGGTATGCTCCTTAAATACAGTGTTAGTTAACAGGAAACCCTCTTATTTCTAGCACAATTTTCATTGTGAACGTTGGTTTGTTTCAGTTTGTTGTTGTCGTCTTTGGCACATCTGGCTATCTGCACATGTGTAACACGAAGGGGATTGCCTACAAGCTGTGAATGCTGCAGAAGTTGAAAAAACATGAGGCTCTTCAGTAACTGATACTTCCTATGCCTCTCGCTGATCCAGCACCAGTACATTACATAGAATTAACATTTACGCGCGACCACATTTCCAGACGTGTGTCTAGATGCGTGCCCATAATTCCTGTTGCAATTTGAGCAGAAGACTTGTAATCTGCAAGGAAATAGCAATCCATAATCAGCAACTGCACAATTGGAGAATGACTCCCTACAACTGAGGGAGCTTAGTTGTAGGCTTTTTGAGTAGCTTTTCATTTTGGTGAGTATTTATTGCAATTCATGTGTACCTATTGCAATATAAATATTTTTTGCCTGCTAGTGATTAGAAAAGCCTGTGCAGACTATTGAATTTTGAGATGTGAATGATTGCACTCAGCTGAGAAGGAAGAGAGCTCACAAGGATGTATTTCTTAATTTAGTCAGTCACTTTGTAATTCATAGTAGAGAAATGTGAGTCAGAACAGTCTGACTCAGGGGCCAAACCTTGTTTGTATTTTGTAAATAAATAGCAATAGTAGAAGTTTTTGACAATAAATATTTTGGAGAGAAAAAAAGATTTCGTAGCAATTTCACTCTGTCACTGGTTCTGTATGGAAGAGACAGCCATGTTGTCTGTGAAGGTACAGTTTGCCAAACTGTGGCTTCATCATTGTCCTAAATTTCTGAATCTCCCTATCAGTCCTTTCCTACAAATTCAGGCTTGAATATTTCATTATTTACATGGGATATGAAGTCAGTTCTTTTAATTTAATCAGTACAAGAGGGATGTGGAGATGCTGGAGAGAGTCCAGTACAGGGCTGCGAGGACGACCAGGGGCCTGGAACATCTGCCCTATGAGGAGAGGCTGAGGGAGCTGGGCCTGTTCAGCCTGGAAAAGAGAAGGCTGAGAGGGGACCTGATCAGTGTCTGTAAGTCCCTCAAGGGAGGCAGTGAGGAGGATGGTGCTGGCCTCTTTTCAGTGGTGGCCACCGACAGAACTAGAGGAAACGGCCGGAAACTGAAGCATCAAAAGTTCCACAGGAACTTAAGGAAAAATTTCTTACCAGTGAGGGTGACAGAGCACTGGAACAGGCTGCCCAGAGAGGTTGTGGAGTCTCCTTCTCTGGAGATCTTCAAACCCGCTTGGACGCAGTCCTGTGCCACGTGCTCTAGGTGACCCTGTGTGTGCAGGGGGTTGGACTAGATGGCCTCTAGAGGCCCCTTCCAACCTTAAGCATTCAATCATTCTATGTTTCTGCAAATTTTTACTTTTTTTGCTATTTCATTACTGCACTACATGTTTCTTTCAAGATAATATTCTTTCTTTATTGACAAAAAAAAAAAAAGTAGTTTTGAATGCATGGTGAATACAAGTTCTAAGGTTTTACATTAGGACTTGCATTATATGTTAGCACTTATATAAGTCCTAACAGTGTATGACTGTATGAATTATTTAAATGGTTCATTTCTAACACTAATAATGGCACTACATTGAAGTGGAGCAAATGAAAGAGAAGTTGCAAGTGATCAGTTGTGGTTAGGTTTTGTGTGCTTATTTCATAGGGTGTTTTGACTGGCAAAAGTCAGTGAAGTTGCATAAATTTAATATATGGAGTATGGATGGCAAATAAAATGACAGAAATTGCATCTCACTTTAGAGAAATATTTACTGGATTAATTCTAAAAATTACTGCCATTACTACAAGTATAGGTTGCGACCGTAGCATTGTAGGGTGGCAACTTGACACAAGGATTTTGTTGTGGAGCCCGTGATGAGCAGTTTCATGGTGATGGCTCAAAGCTAGACTGCAGTGGAGCAGGAGTGGAAGATGATTACACATGCAGTAGTTCTTGCTTTCAAATGGTATCATTTACTAACAGCGATATCAAAATTAGCATTTCAGAGGTTTACCGGCTAGATGATTTTAACTGTTCCTTTTGCCTGCGAGTCTCATCTCCTTCACCACTCAGACGTGTGCAATCTGCTGCATGGAGATGTGTGGTCTGCACCTGATAACTGCGTCCCATAATGCTGGTCTCGAACGAGGCCTTCCTTGGCTGGTAGGAGCCCTGGCTTGCGCCTCGTTGCTCTCTGACCCCACGGTGAGGCAGGCCTAGGAGTGCCCCTTGTAGTAGAAGGGTCTGGGCTGCAGCTGCAGGAGATGGGGTTTTGCTAAAGGAAAACACAAGGCAGGAGCCACTTGTGTAGAGACCATCTTAGACTCATAAGAAATACTGGAACCAGGAACAGGTTGCCCAGAGAGTCCCCATCCTTGGAGACATTCAAAGCCTGACAGGACCCGGGCCAGGGCAGTCTGCGCTAGGGGATCTCCGGGATGCCATCCGACTTGAACCCTTCAGTGATTCAGTGAGATCAGGGACATGCAGGGCTTGACAATTCCTCCTTTGTTTGGAGAATCAAGGCCTGTGTTGTTATGTCAGTGATAGCTAGATAAAATAGACATCTTGGCTTTGGTCTGCTTGAAAAGTTTTAGTTATTAGGGCCTGTTCAAGGTTTTGGAATCAGTTTTGACATATGTCATAGTCGTTAAAGTAGGTATTAATACAAAATAATAAATTTGTGTAGTGTTCAACTTTTTTGTAGCTGTCTATCAGAAAGTTCTGAAGTGGATTTCTTTAAAGACTCCCTGTCTCCTGAGGAAAAGGGGATAAGGCAGTGTGTCCCTGGACAGGATCTATGACTCATTATGTCAATCAAACTCCACTTCAGAGGGGAATAAAGAGATTTGTATCTCAAAGCTGTGCATAACGACTTCTCGGCTTTTCATTTCATATTTATGAGCGGTTTACTTTGAAGTGTTTATCAGGCAATATGCAGAAACATGAGAGAGCATTGCCTGAAACCATGTTCAAGTGTCTAATCTGTTAAATGCTTGCTGAGCAGGCTAGTTCATCAGTGCATGCAATGCAAAAAAGCGAGGAAAAAAATAAACTTTCTGGTTTTTCTGAGGTTCTGAAGAGAATCTTTATATTAACAATATAAAAAGGATTAATAATGCCAAGCATTTTGAAATAAGTGTAATGTATGAAACTTACAAAAGTTGCCTCTGTTCTGGTTAAGTAGATAAACAGCCCTTTGCTTGAAAGGAAGCCAGATAGGACCTGAAACCCCAAGTCCGCGGTGCCCGTGAGCTGACCACGAGAGCCCCATGGGGCCCTGGTGGCCCGGCGCGATCCGGGGAGGAGAGGAGAGGAGAGATGTGTTGGGTTGTGCCTGCCCTCCCGGCCAGGGCAGCTGACGGAGCTCACGGAAGAATGGCAGTGACGTTAGCATGGAACGGGAAGAAATCCCGCATGGATGTACCCGTTGTGTGGTGTGCCTGCAGCGGCACGCTGAAACGGGATCTGCTGCTAAATAGGTCAGTACTGAAAGGCGAGGTAATGTGCAAGCAGAAGAGCTGTGTTTTTCTCGTTTTCATATGGCTTGCTGGCCGGGTTGGAGCAGGACGCGCGCCTGACCCTCACCATGTCCTGCCCTGTTGGCAGAACCTCTCCTGCGAGCCCGGCTCTGCGCCTGGCCGCCTGAGCTAGAGCTCCCACCACCCACGGCACACGGGCAAATTGTGGGGCACACGGGGTCCGTGCACAGTGTTTGTCTTGCATTTAATTAGCTGAGCAATTTCTTGAGGCTTTGTGGTATGTGGTGTCCATGTAATTTTCAGATATTACTAGTCTATTTAATTTCAGATTCTGCAGCCATGTGATTAGTTCAGACCTGGATTTTTTGCCGTGCTGTTTTATGCAGATCAGTTCTTTCTTCTGAATCTTTCCCTTCTATAGAGAACATGGATTGCTTGATTTCTGCCATTCTGGGACTTGTTAAATTCCCCCAAATGACTAATGGAATCACAAGCTGATTAGCAGGGTGTGCTTCTGGATATCTAGCTATAGACCCTTTGCGTGACAGAAATATGTCAGAAACTTCTAGTTCCCTGTCTGGTTTGGTTTAAGGTTCTTCCCTCAGATTTTCCCACTGGAGAGGGGAATAGCTTTTCCCTTGATCATGTATCTATGCTTATTGTTCCCTAAATTCCCAGTAAAGAAGCCCAGCAAAAGAAGGCTGTAAAACAGACCCGGTGGCGTGTTTCAGTGGCAAAGGAAAGCTGCAGAACTTGCATCAAGAATACCTTGCCAACATAAATGTCTCCTCCCTGTTTTATAGTCATTTAAGAAATGCCAAGGAAGGAAATGGAGAAACAAGGTGCCTTAGAGAAGCACAAATAGGAAGTTTTAATATGTTTAGCTGAACCAGAGCTACATTAGACTGAAAATGATGCATAGATCTGTGAAGTATTCATGTCCCTTTTGCAGCAGGGTAAGATCCCTAAAGTTTCTGGCCAGCTTAGCTCATGCACCTTACCACGCTACTGATTAAGAAACACCTAAGAAACACCCCTGTTTTTTTTTTTCTCTCTCTCTCCCTCATGTAATGAAGAAAGGAGTGCAAAATTGGCAATCTCTCTCCTTCAGAATCTATAGTCAACTATAGTCAGGATAGAGGAGATTTCTACCATCCTGGTCTTGAGAGCTGTTCTTGTCTACTCCATGCTCCCTTGTACAAGAAATAGGGTTTTAGGTCGAAAACTACCTGTAACACCCATACATATATAGCAGGAAAAAAAAAAAAAAAAGACACAACAGGACAAGCCTAAAATGGCTCTTTGCAAATGACTGGTAGGTTAAAAAGTGAGAACTAATGTGAGGATTAGTGAATAATCCAAGTGAGCTTCCCCTGCTAAACCCAGTGAATTCTGTAATTGGAATTTACTGCAAAGTAAAAATATTAATGGCATCATATTATATCTAGGTATACTTGACCTTTATCACTGAGATGTGAATTTATCATTTCACCTGATTTTCAAGGCACTTGTGAAACATGTAAAAGCACTTACCAAGTAAGATTAAGTGTGTGTTAAAAATAGTTAGATAAAACAACCTGCACAGTAACTGTCTTTTAAACAAACCGGATTTTGCTCTGGCTATCTTGTTAGCATTTATTGCATCATCTGTTAATTTTAGTGGCTTGTTAAGATTTTGTTTTTAGACTGAAGGTATTTTAAAAAGCAAAGGTAATATGGCTTTGATTATAGCTCAGGTCCTGTTGAAGGCTATAGGATTGTAGATTCTGGAGGGAGCAGTATAGTAACATTGCAGTAGGCATGAAACAAGTAGCAGTAATGGTGTCTTGTGTGCATGTTTAATGTGGCCCAATCTGCATCAGATGCGTTAGTGTTTGATTTGGTACCAGAAGGGGCAGGTTTGTTACGCTCAGCTGAGCTGTTGGGAAGGGGGACGTATTCCGGAGACTGAGTGATGTGGGACAAGGGGAAGGCTGCAGAAACAGCCTGACCCTGTTAAGGTGAGTGAGGAAATGGCGTCTTAGTGCCCGCAGTGCCCCAGGCTGGCTTGGCGGGGAAGGCTGGGGAAGAGGCTTTAGTATCTATGCACAAAAGCCCTGACTTAATCTACTTGAGATCTGTGGTACCTCTGTGATGTACAAATACTGCAAATACATCAAGAAAGGTTCTGCTGAGCTTCTCTGGCCTGTCATCTGCTTGTCACTGGCATTCAGAGAAGTTGCTAATAAAGACAACAGCACAGCTACGGCATCTGTGGAGTCCTGATTTGCCTCACTCCTCAAGTTACTTTGCTCTAGATTTTTTTGTATAAAAAAGAACCTATGTATACTCATACATATATATAAATAAATAGATGTATACATACACACACACACACAGAGATATCTATATATATAAACATATATACACACACACAGAAAAATGCGTGGTCTTGGAGTCCCTGAGCGTTCAGCTTTCATCTTTGCTCTTGTCTTTGTAGAAAGCAGACTGTGGAGCAAAGCGGTGTCTCCTAAGGAGCACCCAGCTAAGAGACCCAAATGGGAAAACAGTTAAATAGATCGTTTCCCTCATCTGCCTCATGATTTTGCTTTGGTAAGCAATGAATTAATGAATTACTGATGATATTTAAATGATCATTAGGAGTCAGCACTTCACTGAGACAAACAGAGATCATTCTTGCTTGGAGGTTTTGTATGTGCTCATAAGACTTGAAAAATTGGTAGTTATTTTCCCTTATTTCACTTTTTTTTCCATGTTTAAAAATGTACAAAAATTGGGATTAGCCAGAAGACTAGCCAGTGTGTTGTACTTCTTCCCCTAGGCAGTCTTATGTTAAAAACAAACAGATGACTATCTGCAGAAACTTTCAGTTCGGTCAATAAGTAAAACCTTTTTTTTTTTTTTTAGTTGGTGTTCAGTGAATCGGTTTATTTTTTCTTAAAATAGTCTTTTTTGTCTATTGCTTTTTATAAAGGAAAGCCAAAATGAGTACTTATAAAAAAGCAGGGTCAATGTTTTCCCTGCACGTGTAAGAAGATTTGACAAAATCGTTTTTAATTGTGATGAACTTAGCATCACCTCCTCGTGCACTAGGAAAACTCATAGCTTAGAGTGTTTGCACTTCCATTTTCCTGAAGAAAATAAAGTCAATGCCAGAAGGCTGTAAAATTGTGGGCTGAAGTGGACGTAGGATAGCAGAGGGTCAAGGAATAGCCCTGTTGGTTAAAAAAAAAAAAAAAAGGAATTTTACAAAATCGGAAACGTATTTCCAAACAGATAATACCAAATTCAACTTTGCAGTGCTGGAAGTGCAGTTCTAAAGCACTGCTGCAGACTTGTGTGCTGGTGAGAGAGCAGAGGAAGAGCCTTGAGGAGCAGAGCGCTGCCGCGGCGGGGAGGGCTCCGAGGGCTCCCCGCGCTGCCCGGCCGCGCGGCAGCCTGCACAGCGCAGCCATTGACAGGGGAAAGCAATCCTGCAGGAAGGGGGGGTGTTTCCTCTGCAGCAAAGTTCAGGACCAATAATCATCTGAATTGGTGCCAACTGCTCCATTTATAATACTACAACTGACTGGCTGTGGAAATAACTAATTCTTTTCCTAGGATTAAAAATGAAAAGCTGAAAGCAATTTATAATTCCATCAAATAAATAAAGATGTTTCTTGATCTCTTCATAAAATAAGTGGAATTGGTGAATAAAGGAAAATGTGGTTGTGTCTGCCTTGCAGTTAGCTATACTGTCTCAAAGCACTTGTTCTCTTTTCATTGCTGTCTGATTAGAATATATGTAGTGCTCAAATGATTTTAATTACATGATCCTTAAAGTTTGATGTAAAGTTTATATAGATTTGTTGAGTGTTTAAAAAAAAATTAACCCTGTTTTATTAAACTCATCGTGAACAGCTCTTTCCATTTTAGATGAGTTTCTTCCCCTGCTGGAAGCCCTTCCTGTTGGTTGTGCTCCTGGCAGGGTTAGAAATGCAGAACTGGAGGCTGGCATCCCCGGCCCTTCTGAAACCTGTCGCGAGCAACATCATTCAGACTGTAAACACGGCGGTTCTGGCTTGAGTAATGGCTAGAGGATCTTATATTCTACTGTGCAGGACACTTTTTACATTGCCATTATTTCTACTTGACATGATGTTTACAATGAAGAAGCTCCCTGTGACTAAACAGCTGACAGCTGCTAGTGCTGAGAAATCTTTATATGTGCCTGGGGACCTTCATAAAATATAGAGTATCCATGTTCCAAACTTGTGAGGCAAGGTATAAAAGAAAACAATTAAGGTTTCATCTCTGATGACAGCTGATTCAGTTATTTCCATGGCTGCCAATTAAACAGTTATGAAGGTATGAAAGCTTTATTACCTGTAACTTCTACTGTTTCTTGCAAATACAGTTTATTTGTCAAGAACAGTGGTATGTTTCTTTAGTGCTTTTTAGGTCTTGATTAACAAATAAAAGTAAGAAAAGGCTTTTCATTAATCATCAAATTATTGCCGGCTAATTTATCTCCAGTTTCCTGGAGATTGTCATGTAGAGATATTTCTTAAACTGAACTCAGATTCATGTGTCAAGACTGCTAATTGCAAAGTGAGTTTATTCACAAGCACTCATGTCTGTATATTTTTGGACAATGATTTTTTTTCTTGAGACCAAAGAGAACTCGCTATCTCTTTGTTACCTATCTAAAATGCTTGTACAACAGGAAACAGACATCTTCATGAGCTAGGCTGGAATGCAAATGACTGTTCTTAGAGACCATATTTATTGACTTTTTTTAGAGATGGAAACAAAGCTTTTACATTCTATTTGTACCACAGTTCAATTCTTGTGCTTTTGTATGACATGAGCGTAGCTGTGCCTTGAATGTACTAATAGGAGCTAAAGATATTGAATACTATCTGCTTTCAAATGGGATAGCACTTCATTCTCTCCTAATTTTATATACATACATATATATATATGTATTTATTTGTACATATCTAGTATGTATTTTTTTTTAGCTGTGTCATCTTGGAA